TAATGTTGCCGTTGCTGTTGCTGCTGTTGTTGTTGTTGTTGTTGTCGTTGTTGTCGTTGTTGTCGTTGTCGTCGTTGTCGTTGTCGTTGTCGTTGTCGTTGTCGTTGTTGTTGTTGTCGTTGTCGTTGTCGTTGTCGTTGTTGTTGTTGTTGTTGTTGTTGCTGCTGCTGCTGCTGTTGTTGTTGTTGTTGCTGTTGTTGTTGTTGTTGTGGTTGGTGTTGTCGTTGTGGTTGTCGTTGTCGGTGTCGTTGTTGTTGTTGTTGTTGTTGCTGCTGTTGTTGTTGTTGTTGGTGTTGTTGTGGTGTTGTTGTTGGTGTTGTTGTGGTTGTGGTTGTTGTTGTTATTGTCGTTTTTGTTGTTGTTGTCGTTGTCGTTGTCGGTGTTGTTGTTGTTGTTGTTGTTGTTGTTGTTGTTGTTGTTGTCGTTGTCGTTGTTGAAGTTGTTGTTGTTGTTGTTGTCGTGGTTGTTGTTGTTGTTGTCGTTGTCGTTGTCGTTGTTGTTGTTGTTGTCGTTGAATGCTGCTGATCTTGAATTTTACGTGCAGTGTTAGTGGTCGTTTAAAAGCTGTGTGGTTGTTTCTGTGTGAAGTCTTTCTTGTGGGTCATTTGTTGAAATGGGCTTGGGGTTTCATGTTTAATTAGGGGTTAGGTTTTTAGGATGTCGGTGGTGGGCACAGGAACTAGGGCTTGGGGTCCAAAAGAAGCGGCTCAAACTAAGTCCTAAATCCTCAACCCTAAATCCTAAACCCTGAACCCTATGAACCCTACATCCTAACTTAGACCCCAAACCTTAAATACTAAACCCCAAACCTTACATCCGAAGCTCTAAACCCCCAAAAGGCGTTTCTTAGTGAGACGCATCGGAGCAGCTTCGCCCAAAAGCTTAGTGTTTAGAGTTTGGGGTTTTGGGAATTCAAGGCTTGGGGTTTACGGTTTTATGTAAGGATGTAAGGTCTAGGTCGCTCAGTTCTACAGGTTTTTTGTAGGTTTTCAGCAAAGAGTCTTGCAGCGGTTCTACAAGGGTTGTAGAGGTTTGTAGGCTTCTAGGTCCCGCAGTAGCACCCTTGTGTGGGTTTTTTTTGTCGGGGTTTCGTCGGGTCGTGTTTGAAATTTAGGGGTTTCGTGTTCGAAGTTGAATTGAGAAAGAAGAGAAAGGGTACCCACATCATTCAGGGAAGCCCGGAAACCCAAAGTCCAAACCCTGAAGCCTGAATTCCAAACCGCCCAGCCCTGAACCCCATATCCTAAACCTGAATCATGGGTTAGGGTTTGGGGTTTAGGGGTATAGGGTTTAGGGTTTAGGGGCCTGAATCCATAAACCGTGAAACCCCAAGAACCCGCACAGAACCCTGAACCGTGAGCCGAAGCCCCAAACTCCACACAGTTCAGAGGACTCCGGCTTGGGTGAGGCTTTCCGAGCGGCTGTGCGGAACCTCGTCAGCCTTTAAGTGTAGGTAGTATTATTAGGCTTATTAGGGGTACCCCGTAAAGGGTACCCCTTCTGAACCCTACTGTTGGCTCTCTGAGAGGGTCTATATCCCCAAACCTCCCCCTAATCCTAGCTCCCTTTAAGGATTGAGGGTTAAGGAGATGTAGGATGTAAGCTTCCGGGTTTGTAGGGGTTAGGGTTTGAACCCTAAACCCCAAAAGCCCTAAACCCTAAACCCCTAAACCCGAAACCCCAAAAAACCCTAAACCCCCAAAAGCCCTAAACCCTAAACCCAAAAAGCCCTACACCCCGAGTGTCCACGGTTCAGGGTTAAAGTTTTCTGGTCTACCTGGCCCGGGAAGCTCACACTCTGCCCCTGCTTTGGTGTTTGGGTTTAGGGTTTAGGGTTTAGGGGTTTAGGGTTTAGGGTTTAGGGTTTAGGGGTTTAGGGGAATAAGGTTCTTAGTTTTCCAATACCCAACCTTTAATCTTTTGGGGTTCTTATAATTTAGTAGTAGTCTGAAAGTTTAGCCTAGGTAGCCTTTAACCGGTTGGGCGGAATTTTCAGTTAAAACCCCTGAATAATCTCCAGCCCAAATTCTTCATATATTGGACAACTAAGTCTAAGTCATATAGATAAGTAGGTCCTAGTACACTCCCCTAAAGCCTACACCCCAAAAACGGGGTAGGATAGGACCGGTTGCTGCATCGAAACTCTGAACAACCGGTCTGGTTCTCGAGTTGTCTACTAGAGCCCAGCACGAGATCCTTTTAGGGGTTTGGGACTAGGGGTTTTGAGGTTAGGGGCTTAGGGGTTTAGAGTTTAGGGTTTAAGGTTTTAGGGGTTTAGGGGTTTAGGGTTCAGGGTTTAGGATTAGGGTGTAGGGTTTAGTTAAAAGTTTTTAAGCCCTCAACCTGAAACCTTACCTTATCCCTACATAGCTTACCTGTACCTGTTTATGGACTTAAAGAAAAATAGGTTCCTTTTCCAAAACATGGCCCTACTTAATTTTGTGAGCATAGAGCGTTACAGACTCATGGTTCAGGACGATTCCCTATTTTATAGGCCTCTAGACCCTTAACCCTAAACCCGCCCCGTAAGTTGATTCAGGCCATATTGCCTTCAGTTTCAGGGATCTTTGGCCAAGATACCCATCCACCCACCCCCACACAGACAGGCACGCTGCATCCTAAATCCTTACTGCAGGGGTCGGAGTAGTTTGAAAGAGTCTTAGTTCCCCAATACCCAACCTTTAATCTTTTTAGGTTCTCATAATTTAGTAGTAATCTGAAAGTTTAACTTTTTTTCCCCTGGCTTATTGGGGAAGTAAGGAGTCGCCCCAGAACCCTAGGTTTGGACCTCGGCCTCGGAGGAAGGCTCCGGGTGTTGAGGTGGTGATTAATATAGGGTTTAGGGTTTAGGGTTTAGGGTTATTAATATAGGGGCCTAAATAGTTACCAATGCGATTTTGGGGGCTCCTTATTAAAATTATAGTATAATGGGCCCCAAAGCCCTATTCTAATAAGGCCCCTAGATTATGTCTGTTCTGAAGGTTAAAGAAATTCAGCAACCCGAACTCCACCCTCAACGCCAAGCCCGAAATCCACATGTCGGCTTGCGAGGAATCCAGACCGCCTGAATGTGTGTCTTGGCGGTTCCGGATTGGGGTTTGAATGCTTGAGATTTGGGAACAAGCTGTAGACGCCGCTGCGCAGGGTTGGGTTTAGTGTCTATTACATATCACAGTCTAGAATGAAGCCTCCCTGTTTCGGGCATCCTGTAGACACTACTGTACGTAGCGCAGTGTCTCCCCTAAACCCTAAACCCTAAATCCTAAACCCTAAACCCTAAGTCCTAAACCCTAAACCTTAAACCCACACACCCAAGATCACATTTGTTCCAGCAGTGAGGGCTTCCAGGAAGTACTCCCGAATAACCTATGCTCCTAGACCAACCCTAAACCCCTAAATCCTACAGGTTTAGGGTTTAAGGTTTAGGATACTAAACCCTGAACCCCTAAACGCTATCTGCACCTTACAACGTGTGCCATGAGCTTGGGGTTACCGTGCAAGCCGACACTCCGTGCGACAACATTCCTGGTCCTTAGCGAGGTCTACAAAGATCATCAGAAGCAAATGGGTCTGTAACGACTACAGTTACAGTATGAACTAGGCCCAGCAATCACCCTAGA